TGCGGTTTGTGCTCATACAAAATCAAAAGCAGGAGTTTGGGAACAGATGTGAATAAACAGGCATGGACACAAACACATCTCGCTCTCTCCCTCCTTCTTGCCTGTTGCCCATTTGCTAACCTCTGTTAAATTTAAGACATAGGGCAGTTCAGAAAACACAGATCATGACTCTGTGTTGTTTTTCTTGTCCTTTTTACAGGTGGAGATTTGTAGAAAGGGAAGACAGATGCAACATGGTGACATAAAAGAGGCAGAGTGAAAGGACAGTCCTGAGATGTCCAACCAAGACCCCTGGTATCAGCAGCAGCCATGCCACTTACGTCCTGTTCATCAAGCTGGCAACTGCTGTCAGAATATATGTCTTGCTCTATCAGGATATATATTAATCTTTTTAGGGGTGGCACACTGTTCATGTGGGATGGTTTTAGAGACCCAGGAAATTAAAAAGCCAGATGCAAATGTGTAGTGCAAATGCATCCTCCCACAATTCTGCATATCACCACAACGGATCTTAACAGGGATTTTCTTAGCAAACAATATATGCAAAGATAATAACCTCCCTGCTGATACTGGCAGGTCTCCTTTCTGATGGACTCAGTTTCATTCACGTGCACAATAGGGGGGAGAAGGATTATTTTAGCGTACTTGTTTTCTTTCCTGGTTCACATCATTCACTGAGTATGTAGGAAGGATGCCAAATTGTTTACAAGAAGATCAGAGATGATTTGAGCCAAAACTATCAGTCCAAGTGCCCTCAAACTTAGGGATTTTCTGATGTGGCTATGACTTCAAAAGCCATGATTCATCCCCATCTCTGCACTGGAGTGAATATCAATATGAGCATTAAGGACAAAAGCCCTGTTCCAAGTTGTGCTATAAGCTCCCACTGAGTGCTAGACGTGAGAAATTGCCCTGACTCTGTCAGTATAAAACTTTCATGACACAGGTAATGTGCATCATAAATTTGAGCTGAGAATTTAACTTTTAAGTGTTTTTCCTTTGAAAATCTTACGGAGCTCCTGTCTCCTTCTCCTTCCAGACCACTGCAGTTACCACACACAAGCCAATCACTCCATGGTCTTTAGAGGTCATGTGTGATTTTCAGTATCATTCTAAAAGCATAGGTGCTATGATAAAATAATAACTTTAAACAGATACTTAATATCAAAGATATAATTCGCATCATTAAAATATAATTAGAATTGACACCTATGTGTTTCCTTCCTACTAAATGTCTGCATCTTGGCTACATATATACTAACAAAGGGATGACTCCCGAGAGATCAGATGTTTGAAAGAAGGAATTCTGCCATAAAGGATTCAGCAGGAGGTATATCATCAGCTTTGACACACCAGCAGGGTACCAGGGATGCTTATGTAAAACACTCAAGCCAGAATCATCATCCAAAATGAAGCTGTAATGACATTTCCATTACTTCTTGTTCACCCTCTTCCTCTTTCCCCCTCCTCCCCCCACGTTTTTTTTTCCCTTCAGGTTATATGTTATATGTAGATTGAAACTGACGGGTAGATAAGTGGCAAGGAAGAACTTCCAAATCAATCAAGGTAAAAGATTTTTGTGATTTCTTATTACATTTATCCTCAGTCATATACTGCCGTACTTTTTTTAACGTATTCTTGAGACTAAGGCTTTCCTGCTCAGAGAGCTAAGACCTTCTCCTGTGCCTTTTATCATCTCTGGCTTTGATGGTGGTCACCTTCTTTTCTCTGACTTACATAATACTCATTCAAATACGGCTGCTATATAGATGTTGCTTTCATAACATCTTTGCTATGAAGATACATCTCCAATATTTTGAGGGTTTTTTCTGATATTGTATAGTGAGCATACTATTTGAAACATTGTCTTTCAACAGTCTGAAAACCTGCTTTCTTCTCAATTGGCTTCATTCTGAAGACTTAGCTCCTATGCCTCTAGGTATCTCCCTTAAGAGAAAATGATTTGTGATTGGGGAATTTGTTTTTACATGTGTTTTTTAAATTTGGAATACAGTATGATGATGGTCCTGACATACGTGTCTTAGATTGACTCCACAATATTATTACTGTTTATTGCTTCTGTCACCTTTGATTTCCCCTTTTGTTGCAGCTTTCATTTGTTGAAGCTTGTCTTAATGTCAGACCCAGATCCTACAACTTACACATCTGCTTACCTTTAGTCATCTGCGTATTCCCACTGATTCCAGTGAGAATACACACGTACTTTAAATTAAGCACACGTGCAAGATTTCTGGAATTAAATAATGGGAAATAAAGTCTGGTTGTTGTTCTTTTTCCCAGCTTCAGCATCTAGCAACTTCTGCAGGTGGTTAAACCTGCAGAGATTTAAACCCCATTGTTAATAAAGAAAAGACGGCCCCAAATCAGTGAGATTTGAGAAAAGGTCTTGACAATATTAAGAGAATTTTTTATAGCAATAATAGTGGTGTGAGCTTTCATAGCAAGGGTTGTTCCAAGACAGTAGAGCTGGCAACAACCCAACATTTTATTCTCTTTTCTCAAGGCAATACTCAGATCAGATACAGTTTTCCTCCCTTACATGAATCCATATTGTCAAAAGTATGGGGCAGGAGGGATAGAGGAAATAGCAGTTTGTAATTTCTGATGGGGAAGCACTCCACTGGTGCTGTGCTGTTTGTTAATTGGAAAGGACTGTTGTTTGTTAATTGTCCTGAATAACATACACCAAAAGGACAGCACAAATTTTCGAGGAAAAAAATCAGGTGGAAAATTAGGCTGAAGAGCCATTTGTACTGTAAAGCTTGACTACATTATTATAATTTGGTTTGCTCTTTCTGTGTATTTAAACTGTTACAACATGGGCTGGAAACAATTCAAATTTCAGTTTGCATTAAGTAGCATTGTAACTGTGTGTCAACTAAAACAAGAGACAGAATTTTAAGTTACAGTATTCTAAATCACATGCCACATGATATTTAGAATTATTTGAATGAATTTAAACTATTAAAATAATTACAATTATTTGGATTTTTTCCCCTGCTAATACAGGCTAGCAGTGGCAGAATAAAATATGACAGAAAGTGAAAACTGTGGGATGATAACCTCCTGATAGCTTAATTTTAACATTTCAATCTTCCAGACATTCAACTTTAAAAATATGGTTCAAGTTGTATGAAAGTTAAACAAAATCTTTCATTTCATGTTTCTTCTTAAACACAGGTCTCAAAATATTGACTTTCCCAAAGAAAGAAATTCTGGGATAGCACCATCTCTGCAGCAATGTGGCCAATATCTGCATTATTTATTTAGCCTGAGGAACCTCTGTGAAGGAGCTGAAACAGGGGGGCTCAGGGTCAGATGGGAGAAGGTAGGAGGTTAAGCCCTGCACTCATCTCTTGTTGCATTCCCCGCTATAGCTCTTGTGTCTAGCAGCCAACCAAAGAGCCCCTGAAGCTCTGGTTTGCTCTTGGGAATAGAAATCCAAAAGACAGAGAATAAGAGATATAGAAAGAAAAGGAGAGAGCAACAAGTGTAATGTTGTGTTTCCCACCATTGTCTCTGGAAAAAAAGAATCCCTTTCAGTCTCAATCTTTTGGCTGCACACAAGTGCATGAGGTGATCTCAGCCTTGGAAATGGGTAAATTAGATAAGCTAATTCATTTTTCTCCTAACTTAGAACCATTTTTGCTGATGTGTGGTATACCGTTTTTATTCCTATAATCTATAATCTACTGGTAACATAATTCCTTTATGTTTTAGAAAAAATATTTCCTGCTCTCCTCCCTTTGAGCAGTTAGTATAAAACGACCACATATATGATATTTCCTCCTTCTTTCCCTTCTCCTTTCATCCCCTTTCCTCTCTTTCTCTTCCCTTCTCTCCATTCATTTCATGGGGGGGGAATGCACCAGAGACCTGGAGCCACTTTTTCTCACAGTCAAATTTCCACCTTCTCATCTCTGACATCTTGCAGGCAAGGCAATAGTTGATTAGTGTGATCTGTTCCCTTTTCAGAATATATTTATATTTACCATATAATAACACTCATTTTTTCATTATTTTATGAGTATGACACTACCTGCAAACCATTGTTGTTCTGATATGTGCTAAATATTGACAACGAAACAAAAAAATACATGCACGCCGAAACAAGCTGACCTATGGTAAAGAAGAGTAAGTAAGGTAATGTCCTTGCAGATCTTTTTTGTTTTATAAACACCACAGGTCTCTTCCCAGCTGTGGAAGCCAAAGGCTTCTCCAGTGTCACGTGAGACTGGGGGAAAGACCAAGCAATATATGCTTGTCCCAGATGGTTAATTGTGAAGAGGTGGAAGAGGCTGGCGGTGTTGTTAACAGCTCTATTTTCACTGGAGATGATGGGGTTTGAAGTGCTTTCTTCTACCCCACATCACTCATCCATGTCATCTATCAGGTGAGACCAACTACTTGACTATGTACAGAGATAATAGGTAGTACCCAAAAGTATTCTGCTGGTTTGGACAGTGTCTGGAGTCTACCTCTTCATAAAACTTATCTTTAGAAAGGCCTAAGAATCTTCCTTTGTAGCTTATCCAGAAACTGTCCAAGAGCCAAGAGGTTCAAAGATGCAGTTAAAAGTGCATGGGAATTGTAAGGGTTGACAGAAAAAAGCATCTTGCCCCAAGTTAAGGGTACTTGGGAGGCTTATTTAACCTTCACTCCAGCCATCTGCACACAATTTTATGTTATTATTTACAACATGATGGAATTGAAATGTGAATTTGCCATAGCAACCCAGGCTTCAAATGAGGCATATGTTGCTTTCCAAAATTACAGCACCTCCTTAAAAAGGAGTAAAGAATAGGGCACTGTGTAATCTGAACTCTTGCAAAATGTTATTAACAAAACATGGCTTTAATAAACAACACATTTTCCCCAATTCTTGGAGTACATTTAATAAGGAAAGTTTGCAATTAGAAAAAGTCATATATATATTTATAAATATATAGATACATAAAAAATGAGTTATTTCAGTTTAATCCATTTTTGAAGAAAAAAATAAGACAGGGGATACAGAGCTGGCAATGTTAAGACCAAGGCCCCGAGGGACATTTACATGATGTGGGTGAGCATTTCTGTGCCATTGCCTTCTTGCTTCACTGTAAGAAAAACAAAACAGTGACAGGTCATACATTCATTCATGCATTTTATTCTTTCCATTTAATCATTCCTTTTGCCAGAAAAATAATGGAGCATCCAGCAGATGACATAACTGTACGTAAATAAATATTTATTCAAATCCCCGACTTGCAGTCACTTCCCACTAACAAAATACCAGAGTCAGCTGGGTTTCTGGAAAGCAGAATGTGTCCACAGATTTTGCTAGGTTATGCAGAATTATGCTTGTTTAACTGAGCCTTTGAAAGTCTTATATGACTATAAATGTGTAAATTTGTGTGTGTGTGTATGTACCTGTGTGTTTGTATTTATTCATATTGTGTAATACAGAACATTTGGACTTGCACATCCATTTCACATTTTCCTGTTATTCTCAGCAGGTAGACTTTACTAACAAGATTTATCTTAAGTATAACCATACAAAAAGTTTGTTGTGGATATCAATTTTATATAAGTGATGTGATCCTTTTTTTAAGCAGTTTGAAGAGATTCAGCCATGTGTATGTTTGGAATGAGAAAAGAGCTACACAAAAGGAGCAACCTTCTCACCCTCTTTACAAATTATTTCTTCTGATTAAAGTGACAATGAAAATGAGGCAAATCACAGCTATTTATTACCATTTTTTAAAGCAAGTGAAGAACCCAAGCCCTGCAAACAAGTACTGTAACAGCTGAGATAGCCCCTGTCTCTCCACTTATACAGATGTTTCGAAGTTTGTTTTCAATGAGATAAATGGGAGCTTCTGCACCTAACAGTGAAGCTTTCTTTCAGAATGCGGGCCGGTGTAAAAGACAGAAGAAACACAGGGCACAGTGGCTACCAGGTTTACTTCTATGCATGTCTAGTATCTGAGCTACTAGTCTAGGCTCTGGAAAAATGCAGCATCAGAGCTTTAAAGGCCTAGGTGGGACCTATTTCAGACCCGCTTTTTGATGTGATGCAAGTTACACCAGAAGTTTTTAGTGACAATGGGCAATGCCTGAATGAGGCTCAGAAGAGCTGACTCCTATTCCTTGTACAGGTTGGCATAGTAAACCCACGGTGAGTACCTGGTTGGATCAACTCATCCCCTTTCAGACTTTGTTCACTGTAAACAGACGTGGGAATCAGGACACAGAGTTTTTGAACCTATTCTTGTCTTTTCCACTTTACTGCTAGTTCTCTCCTTCGGGATATTACAAGAAAATATTAGAACATGCTGCAGCCTCATATATCAGCTTTCCATTTGCAATTCATGACATTAATTGAACATTTCACAGGACAAAAGTACATCCTATAGATTGGCTTAACTCCACTATCCTATTTTAGAGTCTTGCAAGTAAGTTAATGAAAACCACAGCAGGTTTGAATTGTGTTTTCCTTTTTAATCTAAAGATATTATTTGTTTTGGCTTAAAGGGAATTGTGAGAAAGACTGATATACTCAAAGTGAACACATTTAAGTGCTTTCTGAGGACAGCAAATGAACCTTAGCAGTGAGATCCTGCTGTCTGTGAGGCTAAATTGCAATGTGCTTTACTGGCTTGTAAGTATAGGGATGTAAAACTAGGTACATGTCCAAATGTGTGTAATCCAAGATGATATCCAGTCAGAAATGGCTAATGTGCAAGGAAAAAAATTATTCTCAAAATTTAAAGGAATTGGTTTATACTCTTGTCCAAGATTTCTAGTGACATCACACACCATGAAACAATAAAATCTAATAAAGTTTGTTCACTTCAACAGAAGTTTTAAAGCATGTTCAGAAAGACCTTCCCTCTGATCACTGCTGCCTGATTTCAGCTTCAAAATCCTAAATCTGACATTCATTCACTTCTTCTTTACTTCTCTTTATACCACATGTTAATAGCATCTTTGCTTTTCCTTCCCAGCCTGCACCCACAACATGCATCAGCCATACCAGTCCTCAGCAATATTTTATGTAGAACATTCCCTGTATTCACTGGGAAATAACAGAATCTGATTCAAGTCCTGAGGTAAGTTTTCAGGACAATAATGAAATTAGATCCTAGCTAGCTAGGAACATTGCACATTTGATTTCAGAGCTCCATAATGCCATGCCTACAGGCAGTATAATTTCATAGTTCTCAGACTATGTGAAGCTCAGGAGTTACTCAGAAACACACATAAACAGCAATTCCTGGAGGTAAAGTGAAATATTTAATAGTTGTATGTATCAAATTTTGTCTTCTCTAAAAGAGTTGACATAATATAGAGATAATTCTGATACCTGCCATGGTCTTCTTTCGGGGAATCTGTGTGGTGTAAGTATTGAAAGAAATGTTCCATTCTTAACCTTATGCAAAGGCAGAGTCTTTTTTATCCTTGGTCTTCACAGAGTAAATTCATTAGTCTGAACTGTGTTTTTATCAATGCTAAAAGTCAGGGGAAGAAAGTCAGGACTGAACCTCATAATGCCTTGCTGTGCTATTTGGAAAAATTTGCTTGTCTATACTTCAAGTTCCCTGGGACAAAGTCTGCCTTTCCAGCAGTTTCAATCTGTGTACAAGACGATAGAAGCAATGATGGAATATAATAAATGCTTACCAATATTAACACTGCCAGTGGATGTTGTTTCTTGTCCATGGAGTTGCAAAGCATGTCCAGATACTACAATGATGCATACCTTGTAAATGCATATGATAAACGGATAATAAAGGTTGAATTAAACAAGTCAATGGTTTTGGCCCTGTTGCTGGCTGGCAGTTAGGCAGTATAGGTGAAATACACCATCACCGCAATTAGCACTGATTTGCACTCTATGCTTTCCAGGGAGCTCACTTCCAAGAATGATCCCTCTGTAGCAGCATTCAGAGCATTGACGGGTTGATGCAGTAAAGCCTTTATGCCTTTATGCATAAGGCCCAAACTTTTGATGATTTGCCAATTCATCTCATTTTGGGAGCTGTCAGTTCAGCCCTTTCCCTGAAATGTAAAGAAATGCTTTTTAAATGTTGGGTGGTCGTGGTTTTTCTTTGGTTTAGTTTGTTTGTTTTTTTTTTAAATTGCAGAAATATGGCCAGTTCCACATGAAACCCAGACACAGCCTTATTGGGTACCTAAAAGGAGATATAGGCCTTCCTCCTAATTTATCATCATGTCTGTCTGTCTATCTATCTATCTATCTATCTATCTATCTATCTATCTATCTATCTATCTATCTATCTCATGATGTTCCATGTCTCAGGCACTGCACAGACCATCCTCTAAGAACAATGGTACTTCCATCCTGAAAAATGCTATTTAATGCTATTCATTTATATAAAAGAGTTTATTAGAAAAAAACAGTAATGCAGGGTAAAAATTACTTGCCTGCGCCAAAAGATTTCCTGTTTCTTAACTCTCCATATTTCAAGTTTCCTCTGTAAGAACATTTCTCTATTACTTATTCTGAAATTATAGATGACAGGGTTTTAAAAGGCGTAGCAATACTTACTTAGAGATGAATACAGGTGCTTTCATTAAGACTTGATGCACTTGATAATAGATTTTATTAATGCTTCTCCGGAGGTTAAAAGATCCTGTGATGGAAGGTTTAATGACAATTCAAGGCATGATAGTCATTTGGTAGTATTCCTTCTTTTCCTGGTTTCTTTGAATTGCAGCACATACAGGCCTATTTGAAATAAAAAGTAGGGATAGTTCTGATAAGGCAATGTGCCTTTCTGCTAGGATTAGGCATTGATGGGTAGGAGGCTGTTACACTAAATGAAGCTAGAAGACAGCAGAATGAAACCTGAGACAAAAAGGAAGTTCTTTGTGCTAAATGATCAAAACTAAGGCACTTTGCCAAGGCATGTGTGCATGATAGCACGCTACTTACTTGGGTGAAGAAATTCCCCCCAAGTTCTACTTTTTGTACACTGACAGATCAGCTCTGAGCCATCAGTTATCCCCAGCAGCGTGTCCAGGACCACTGCTGTCAAACGTGCAGTAAAACCTGCTGCCCACTGAGGCCCATTTGAGAATCTGGACTCTAGCTTCTCCCAGAATTACATTTTTGCATGTGTGTGACACAACAGCCTGCATTATAATAAGCACAGAGTTCAAAACTTGGCACCAGTGCCTGTCCTTTTTCCAAAGTCAAGTGTAAAGTCTTAGGGCCCTATTAATGAAAAATCCATCCCATGGCTAGATCACAGAAAAAGGAGGGCCTCAAATCGTGAGCAGGATCTGTTATAAAAGCCATGTGTTCATGTAAAAACATGACGGAATATGGGCACAGAAAGTTACATGTGGATTTCACTAGATGCATAGGGATTCCTGGTATGCACATAAATTTTATGTTGTACTTAGAGACACAATGCAAAGGGTCAGGGGCCTGTAAATATGTTTCCTTGCTGCATAAAGTAGGGTGATAAACAATGACATGTCAAAATCCCTGAAAATCAAGGTTGAGGCCAAACTACAGTTTGAAGTGGGACAGATGAAAAAGACTGTCTGTGCATGGACAGTAGAGCTAAAGAACTCAGCAAATTCCAAAAGATAAAACACACTCTAGTCAGTCTTACTTTTTTTTGTCTTGTCTAACATTTTTGTTTCTAAAGAGTGACACTGATTACTCTTGTTTGACATATCAACCATGTTCCCCGAGCAACCTGGGGACCTAGTAATAGCTTATGCTTATCTGGGGTTTCGACATAGACTGCAGGAGTAGTTATCACCTGTTATTTTTAAAAGGACAGTTAAGCAGTCCTAAAATACAAAATTCATACTAGGAGTATGTTATTGTTCTCAGGAATAAGAAGCTGCTTGTTTCCCAGTGATCTCAGCAAGTTTATCATACACACTTTTTTCCTTTCTACTGTTTTAATCAAAGAGTTCAGTAAAAAATAAGGCAGAAGAATTTTCTACCAGAAAATATCACTGTATTAATACCTCTAGCTTTAGGCAGCTTATGCAAAGCACACTATGCTCCCTTTTGTAATGTTTCATTTCCACCACATCTTTGCTCACTCTTGCATGGACAGCCTGGATTACAATGGCATGGTTTAGGCTGGGTTGTTGTTTTTTTTTTGTTTTTTGGTTGGTTGGTTTTTTTTTTTGGGGGGGGGGGGGGGGGGGTGTTGGTTTTGTTTGTTTGCTTTAATAACAAGGCAAGCTGGGTTTATGCTGCTCCAAAGTGTGTTTGTTGCCTAACCTGCTCAGGTTCCTTTCTCTCATAGCTGCATGTGTGCAGACTTTGCCTACTGTTAATCCCAGTGTTATGGGCTTTGTAAAAGACACAATGCAGAAGTTATGAGAGGACTCTCTGGGTAAGAGATCTTAAGCTACTTTTGTAAAGCTGCTTTCAGAAGAGTCCTCCCTCCTTAGCATATGCATCATCTGACTGTCAGGGAAGGCACAGAGTGAGGCGTGCAGTCCTTTGGGTAAGTCTGGATAAGAGCTTTGCTCTTTTGCCTACATGAATTTGCTGTAATTTATGCCATACCAGATCTTCTAAATTACCTTTAAAGCAGCTCCATCCTCTTTGGTATAGATTCTCATTAAAAAGCATGAAACATGAGCCATTGTGACTGAACACTAGTCTTCTTCACCAGTGAAAACCTCAGCTATAGAACTTTCATGTTCTATACATGAAACAAAGTGACCACAGCTTTTGGGTTTTGTACAGTTTAAGCATAGTGTGGCAGCTGGAGGAAACATTAAGCCAGCCGATTGATGCAAGGACATCCAGGGTTTACACAGGACATGGCTCTTCAGAACTGTTGATGGTGTTTCAATTTTAAACATGACCACAACAAGAAATTTCAGCTCCAGAAGTAGAGATTCACATTATGTCATGACAGAAATGCTGCCTACCTGCATCACCAAACAAACACTGCTGGTAAGCATCACTTTAATGCTCACAGAGTAAGTTTTGTCAAAGTATAATAGCCTTTAACAAAGGAAAACAGGAATTAAAGCACCTTTGCTCACATTCTACTTTCACACTACCAGGATCTTTAAGCAGAATACGTGCAGGTCCTGGGAACTAAGAAATGGAGGGGAGTAGAAACAGTTGTCATAGTTATTGTCTTCCATATACTTTAAGAGTTCATTAAGTGGTCTGTTAATTGCCAGTCACAGTATAACACAGGCAAGAGAGTGAAAAATAGTCAGTCTGATTTTACAGTCAACAAAGAGGAGGAAAATAAACACTATAAAAGCTGTAAGTAAGCACAAAAGTTTCAAAAACATACTTTTCCAAGGGAAGAGAAGGTTTCATTAAAATTATGGCTTTACCTCTAGAAAAGAATTTCATTAGAGGACACGTGGTTGTCATAAAAATTGTGCAGTTTAGGAAAAATCACAGTATTGCCTGTTACAAAGTAGGAATAGTCCTGTCCAATACCTCCTAAGCATCCCAACTGTCAGGTTTTATTTAACAAACCAGGGCAATAAATACACTGTATAACCACATGATATATGTGTAATATTACCATACATATATAAAATGCTGTAAACATGGTTTTGTTTTTTTTTTGTATAGTATTGCCTATGAGAAAGCCACTCCATCCTCTGGAAAGATTTATCATCGAAAAGACAAGAAACGTTACAACTAATGTGCATAGATTGACATAAAGTCCAATTCTACACGATGCTGCAGAGCTTTCTTACTGCTACCACTAGGACTGCAAATTCCTTGAAATAGTCACTTAAGCATTTTGCAGAGGTAAGTGCTCCTTACAACGTTAACATTTTTAGAAAAAGAAATGAGTCTGTATTTCTATGGACAGAAGGCTCAGACAACATAGCTAATGCTGTTTGGGGTCTATATGGGACAGCAGGATAGATGAGTTCGCTTTATACATCACTCAGTTACAAAGAATGTAATTATGAAAGGGTTCCCTCTGTCCTGTCCTGCATAGGAGATAGAGAAGAGTGAGAAGGAGATGACATTTGGGGTTTCTGTTAAATGCAGTTGAAAGCTGGCTGGAAAATGACTACTTTTGTGTGCATTAAAGAACATACATACGTACAGCTACGTCCTTTTTTCCCTTAGATACTAGGTAGGTGTTAACAAAGCAGATAAACAATGTATGAAATTGGTTTTGTCTGTTTTTAGTTTTCACATCCACAAGGTCTGTAAGCTGTGGAGTTTTAGCTGTGACTCTCAGTACAACACACACTTCTGTGCTGAAAACCAAATATTGTATTATTGTTGCCAGGAGATCCTAAGTAGAAAACAAAACAAACCAAATAAATCAACTGTGATAAAAAACAACAACAATGAAAGAAAGAACACTCTTCTCTTGCCACCTTGCAAAACAAAATCCTCCAGGCATGATCTATTAGTAAAACTAGCTACGGACGGTTGATAATGTACATCTGGATCTAATGAACAAATGCACAGGCCAAATCAATTTTTTTGTTCCCAGGCTTTAAATGAAGTAATTCATCTGTATTTTAACAAAAGCTTTTATTTACACATGAAGAGGTGGGCAGTCATTCGATCAGACATGATTGAAATTGTTCAGTCAGTTAAAGTGGCCGATATTTTTGTGTTACCTTGAAAAAACAGAGGACAGCATGTGTGTGCCATTTTGCCATAAGGAAATGTATGTCTCTACCTACAAAATGTTTAATATATATAAATCTGCATACAAATATTTATGAATCTATTGTACACAGAGAAAGTAATTCACTCACATTAACATGAACCATCACAATGAATTAGGATCATAAATAACAGAAAGGGTATGTGGAACAAAAAGGCTGGGATGTTCTTCGTGCAGCTCTATAGCCTTCTGGGCAGAAAAGCTCATTTTGAAAGCAAATGCTCCTGTGTACCGTAACAGAATTTCAGTTTAAGTTTTTGAGTGAATGGTCACTGCTTTCGGCTGGCGGCGAGGGTTTTTAGCAATGCCTCCCATCATTAACTGCCCAGATTTCGTTGCACATGCATCAGCAGAAATGGGAGGACCCAAGGTTAAGGAAAAAAGCTCAGTAAGAATTTCTCCCTGGCACGTACATAATAGCTCAGTACCTCTAAGCAATGCAGGGAGGCTCACCGAAGCCCATAGAACTACTGACATGTTTAAAGTAAAACACATGTGTGATTGACTGTAGAAATGGAGTCCATGATTTTAATTCTCTTTAACAGTGGTTTAACTCTTAATATCATACAGCTAGCAGGCTGCTTTTCTTTTACTCCTTTTTTTTCTTGTAAGTGTGCCACAATTCTTTTAAAGGAGCTTTTGAATTAGTCTAACATCACTGCTAAGTAGCACAGCAGAATATCAGGCACTGTTGTGGAGTTTTTTCAGTTAATTTAGGATTTGCAGTTAAATATAGGTGAGAGAGTTTAACATATGAATAATCCATACACCATTAAACAGCAAAATTTCGGGGGGAGGGGAGGTCTTGAAATAAAAATCCAAAATCAACAAAATATCTCAAACATATGCCAAACGTTTACAGGATTGTTAGCAGTAAATGGCTGAAGGAAAGCTGAATAACTGCAAATAAAGCAAATTTAGCTGATGGATTATTTAAATAATCACATAATGACTTTGACTTCTTCAAAGGTTTTACTGACTGTTAGAGCCTCACGCTCTTTTCTGTTTCTGAAAATCTTTTACAACAGGTGACCAATGATTTCTGAAGAAGATAGACTTAGTAATTTTCTTCTCACTCTGGAATTTAAACTTATACTTTTTTTTTATGCAAGAAATTCAGCTAGAGATTGAAACCATACAGAAAAAATAAATCTTAGGTAAGATGTATTTGTGTGGATAATTGGCATGGCTCTTCTTTTCATATTTTAGTTTAAAACTAAATCAGATATGACAATAATGGAAACTGAAAAAAGTGTCATAATAATGAGATATTTAGATCCAACTACTTAAAAAGCTAAACAGACTAAATATTGACTTCACTGACTTTATTAATTCTAAAAGTTGCCCAGTGTGGCACACAAAACCAAGAATTATTCAGCAGTCTAATAAGGGGAATGCTGCATGCCTCTAGTGGCCTTTCTCTGCGAGCCAGCAGTTAAAATTAATCAAATTTCGGTACTGTATTTAGTTTTGTCCATAATATATTGTTTGATCTTGGCTAGTGCCCATTAGCTGTTTTTTTATATGTAGTTTTTATACAGCAGGTTTTATGCTCTATTGGAAAAGCCCGAAGTCTAGGTTTCCATGTTCCCAAATAGAAAGCTGTAAACATAAATGAGTAGTATCTAAGAGGAGCTACTACCATTGAGACTACTTTGGTTGGAAAAGCCTTTCTTCTTCCCAGAATGACATTCTACAGAATTACCTTAAGTTACACTAATTCCTTTATTACATATCTTAGTGAGATACAAATATATAAGGTATATGAAATATCAGATTCACTTCCTATTTGAAGTACATGAAAGTACTGAAACACTGCAATAAGTAGGATAGTTTAGCTGCTCCCAGCCACTGCTCAGGGTTCTGATGATCATAGGTGCTCTCATGAAAGTTGAATGAATGCCTAAAAATATTTAGCTTACAATTACAGCACTTTATAATCATGACTCCTTTTTAATAAACAGAAAGAAGTAATCAATTATTTTATAGATGAAGGGAATCAGATTTGCTTTTTGTTTTTTTCTTTTTTTTTCTTTTTTTTTTTAACCAGCACTACCGTAATTTTCAGCTTTGAATGGTCCTTTTTGAAGGACTAAATTAAGAATGGCAGGTATTTTAGCGGGGGCTCAACTAATTGTATATCTGGAGATGTAATGAAGCTTGGAAATATTTCTCTCCTCTGGGAGATGAGAGTACTGGCTAATACAATAGCTTATTTCTTTCATGGTTGACAGTTGGAGGGCTTTTTTAAATAATGGCAGGAAATTCAGAGCTTTTCTTTGTACTCCTTTCCTTTCGGTATGCCGGATGCCCTGGCACCAGAGAGCCTTTGAAACCTTCTCCTGTTTCTTCAACACCTGATGGCGATTGTTCAACTGGAGATTTACAGCTGACCTGAGACTCAAACAGCTGAAGTTATGGAAGCTTGAAATGGTGCTGGATTCACTGGAGTGACAGTGTTACCATCATCCAATGGCGGCTGATCAGTGAAATGCGATGGTAATTTCTGCATTCCAGTGGTCAAATGTTCCTACCATCAAAACCACCAACACATCCCAAAGAAAAAGCTACTTAGAGGCCTTATCTTCTGGCCACATTTGCATACATTTGAGCTCTAACAACATCAGTCACATTACTAGCTTTAACAGAATATCTCCGGTGATAGTTTATCCCAGGCTATGAAAGCTTGGAAGAGATAATTAACAAGGCCTTCATCCTGCAAGTTATTATGTGTGCGATAAAAGTTCCCTGAAGCAATAACAGTTAAAAAGGAAAATTTATTCCAGGGATAAAGCTAGTTCAACACCTGAACAATATTTTCAAACTGTAAAATAATCTCTCTGTAGTGATTTCTTCTCTCATTAGCCTTGTAATTAGTATTATCCTCAATGTCCATATTCAGATGTGAATATGTACTGATAGTAATTCCCACATCTGTAAGAACAGGCTTTATGTGGAAAGGGGAAAATCCTTTGACAGGAAATGTCTTTTTTTTTTTCCTTAAACAAAAGAGGATGGCAGTACTATAGTTTCAAAAGCAACCCCTGGCAAAGATGGAGTATAATTTCTTTTGTGAAACACTAATAAATAATAAGCTAGGAAAAAAGAGATTAAGAATGTTTTTTAAGAATGTATATTATGGCTTGAATTATCTTCTTTAAATTCTTAAAATACTCTTAAAAGTAATTTAGTCTGGATTATTTTAACAGAGAAACATTATCTAACAGTAACAGACTATCAGGATCTTGCTCATAGCGTAGTAAATCATGCAGAGGCATATTCAGGTGTGTATACAGTTATACGTTTACCAAGCATTTATATTTTCATACTATTATTTTATATTTCTAACACAGCACAATATCCAGTTTCCAGGAATCCTACTAAGACTACTGAGAAAGAACCTGTGCTTAGGAAAATACCTAAAAGGACATTGCACTAGCTTGGCAACCTACTTTTCAGGCTGAAAAGATCATGTTGCAAATATGAGGCAAAAGATCACACAGTTCTCTGTAAAAACAAGAGTAGTTATTTAGATACTAAGTTGTGTTAATCTTGTAAATAAACAAACTGAAATTTCATTGGTATCCTTTATTTGTATAATACTTATGCAGGTGGGTTGCTATTTACCTTCCTAACTTACTATCAGTCACATATTATAAAGAAAGTCTTGGCACCCTCACACCCCTGGCCTGTGTGTTTCCAAGCAAAGGGTGCCATGAAAATCACTGAAACTAATATTTACCAGAAATCCTTTTAAAGAGGCAGAGGTAAAATTATTACATATTACAACTGAAAAAGTCTATCAAATGAAGCAGACGTTCTGTTTCTGCACTTAGGATAGTCATTACAGTATTTTCAGTATTGCCTAGCCTTTGGGTAAATAATGTCTTGGAAATATAGTAGAATGTTCTAGCAGAATCCTATAAGTAAAAGATGTCTGTGTTGTGATTTTAGTTTGGGTTTGGGTTTGGTTTTTTGGTGTGTGGCATTTTGTTTTGTTTTTTTTTTCCATAAGACCCCCACCCCAAACTTTAAAAGTTATTTGTGGTTTAAAACTTTTTACAGTTTATCAAGTAACATTGAGAAGAATGTTTTTACTGCTATTTTATGAGTCTATAATACAGAGTTTTATAAGATAATTTTGAACTAAAGCATCTTCAATAAAACATAAAATAACGACTTTGTAGGAGAAAAAAAAAACATAAGCAATAGCTACTTCTATAATGCTTGTGAACAGGTTTAACATATCAATGTGTACATAATCATAATACAGACCAGTCAATAAAACAGGGAGCCTCTTTTTCATGTTCAAACAATGTTGCTTTTTAATAGGTTTTGACTCATGCTTTCTTCCTTCACTTCTATCTAAGAGGCTAGGAGCTTGAACTGTAATAACAGCTTTTAGAAAAATAGCAATATGAAATATTTTTTAGGTTAAAACTAATACAGATTTCAAGCTAGAACAGGTTTAGCCAAACACTTTACACGATGAGATTAATATAATTGTTTTAAAGATAGCTTTAAAATTATCCCTGCTTGTAACTTTAACTCAACACTTGCATTTCAGTCATAAAACTGCATCCTGAAGAAAATCCCTTGCAATTTTCCAAACAGAAACAAATTACTACATTTTAGTTTGTATTATTTTTAAAGTATGATAAGTTTCACAGTGGTGATTTTATACCAGATGTTTTCAAACCTGTGTTAAGAAGAAGCAGTCCTTTTGGCATCAGGCTAGTGATGTTCTAAAGCCTCAGTTTGCTTGTGCTTGCAGGAACTGGCACAGCTCTTCTCTTTAAGAGGGTGTTTAGCAGTAGCAGTCAATTTTTGTCCTTGGTAGCTGGTGTGCTTTGACTTCAGCCTGGGAACAGTGCTGATAACACCGATGTTTTCAGTTGTTGCTAAGTAATGTTTACCCTGACCAAGGACTTTGTGAGGCTCATGCTCTGCCAGGGAGGAGTGGAAGCTGGGAGGAAGCAGAGACAGGACACCTGACCCAAACTGACCAAAGAGGTATTCCATACCACAGCATGTCATGCCCGGGGGAGGTAACTGGGAGTTACCCGGCAGGACATGGGCTTCTGGGTCGGACTCGTTTCTTGGCTGGTGGTATTGTATTCTCTTCCCTTGTTATTTTCTCTTAAGATTGTTGTCTTTGGTGGTAGCAGTGGTGATTTGTGTTGTACACTGGTTGCTGGACTGTTCTTGTCTCAACCCGTGGGAGTTGCACTCTTTCGATTCTCGTTCCCCTCCCTTCGGGAGCGGGGAAAGAGGGGGGTTGGGCCTCGATTGCTTCCAGCCTGGCACCACTCACTAGGAGTGAGTGAACAAGCTATCTGGCTAGGGTTTAAACCACAACACAGGGTCTATACTACATTACAGTAAATGTAAAATTAGCTCTTCATTTCATTAAATATACAACCCGGAAAAATTATAGCCCCCCTCCCCCCAAAAGAATGATAACTATGTGTCATTTTAAAACACAGCACTAACTTGCCAGTTCAAAGCAGATGTAGCAATGCAGGCAGAAACATTTATTAGCATCTATATATCTAGAAAGGCAGGCATCTGTGTCTGCTAGGACTCTGAGTAGCTCCTCACCCCTAAGTATCTAAATACTGGTTTGAAATGAACACTACTATGTTTAAACCATGTGAATCTTAATGTCCAAGGATGCTTCCAGCTCCAAGTACATGAATGGACTCACCAGGCAACCTATACCATAAAACCAAGACAGCTCAGGCTGGAGCTGCTTAATGAAGCACTGAGAAAGAGCTTCCGCAATGAAGTGGGATGACATGGGGGCTTTCATAGGTCTTCCTTCTTTATTATTCATGTTTCAGGATTGGCTTCCCAAATCACAGACTGCATTTGTGGCATATGAAGCAGCTCCAAGAGGAATTATGAAATACCTGAACTGCAGTATGAATTTAGTTGAACCCAAAATGATCTGTACACATGAAAGATTTCCCTGAAAATTAGTCTCATTTCAGGATTCATGCAAACAAACTGAATTAGCATACATCATTACAAGTAAAGCTGTGACAATTACTCACTCAAGAATCTATTGAAACAATAATTTGTGACTAATATTTCCAATTAGTTGCTCAGCTACAGTCATAACAGTTCCAACCTCTTAGATTGCTTAAAATTTATGACTTTAATAATGTTAAAGACTATATTTAAATATTCACTTAATAGCAAGTCTAGATATGCTAGTAAAAAAAAAGGACATTATATCACAGCCGTGGTGAATTAAAAAGTAGATTTATATAGGAAAGTGCTATCCCTGGTATCCTCTGCAAAGTTACTGAAAGTCTATCGTAATATTCTAAATAGTTCTTAATAAAAATCACAAAAAAAAATCTTCACCATTATTACTAGCTGCAGATTTTACAAGAATTTCTACATAACCGATCCCCATTATATTAAATAGAAACATCTTGATAATGATATCTGCTTTTCTGTGCATATCTATAAATACATGGGAATGTTTAAATAAATATTTTGTGTGTCCATATGTATCCATTGCCTTGAGGATTTCCACTGAAACTTAATTGTTTTAAGATATTAGAGAAACAAACACTTGTGCAATAGTCATGAAAGCCTTATCATGGATTCATTCACCATCTGTTTGCTACACCTGACTTCTAGAAAAAATACAAGAGAGTAAAACAGAAAAGGTTTATTGCAGAAAAAAAAAATCACTAATTACATGAGTATCATTACTTTGCTTACAGATTTAAAGTAGTATAGAACACACAATATAGAACATTAGTTGAGTATAGAACCTATTACTATGAAGACAACAAGGCTATTTTCTTACATTGCCCTCTGTAGACAATTGCACTCCTTCCTACCATTTACTCAAAAAGGCACATTTTCCTTTGGCATCCTGACATGTTAGAAACTTCTTTCAAACACACAGAATATATAATTTTTCCATTTTATTTCTCCACTGCATTAAAAATCAGAGTAATAGAGAGTTGTTCTTGGAGAAGGAAGTTTTCTGTGTGCGTATCTGAAACAAGCAATCTTGTGATGCAAGAGGTCTGTATGATAATTAGTATTTGGAATGAAAACTTTCATGAGTACAGATATTATCGGAGTTGTTCTTTAGCCCCAAGTGAATATTAATGGCATGTGTTTTGTGTTTCACGATACACTTTTTGAGAACTCTTAATTAATGGAAAATTCTTCCATTCTCAGCAATATGCAGTGCTTGCTATTGAGTAAGATTTTGTGTAAAAGTAATGTGATTTGGATAATTAATTTTTAGAAGATCTCAGCTAGATACTTGATGCTTTCCTTACTTACTGTTTTGAAGCCTCTGCTATCTTCAGTCAGCCTTCCAAACCTAAGAGCACATTAAAAAAGAGACCAAAAACAATAAACATAAATAAATAGCACTTTTAATGACAATATCTAATAAATCTGTTTTGTATTAGAGCTGGTAGCATTTGGACATTGAGTTAGAAATAGACTGTAACATTCTATTTGCAAAGTAAGCTCAAGGTCACCAAATGGTCCTCAGTTACACATTCCTTTATTATCAGTTTGCTTTTGTTCACTCTTGGGTTGTTTTTCCTCATAAAACCAGAGTTACGATTTTTTAGATCATATCTATTTTCTAAATAAGCCAAACATCAACAAATGTCCCTCTTTATTATGTGTTCTAAGAACACATAAACTGCAGTAACAAGTAAGACTTTTAAAATCAGAACAACAAGAAGTGATAAACTGATACAATGAGTTACAACAAATCTGTGCCACTGACAACACAAATCAGGATGTAAGAGCCCAATTCACTCAGCAGTTACAAGAGCATGAGAGAAGAAACCTACTATAAAGTCCCTCTGCTAGTTCACTAGCTAGGGTCACTTTGCTTTGGAATAAAATCGCTGAAAGAAATAAAAAAAAAAAACAAACTGAGAAAAAAAAGTAAAGAAAAAAAAGCAAAACCCAAAAAAACCTCCCCAACACCACATGCCCAACCCACCCCCCCTCAAAAAAAAGAAACCCAGGACAAACAAGCAAACAAAAAAAAAACAAACCCCAACATGCCACCTAGAACTATGTTTTAGGCCAAAACAACAGGCTAAACTTTTAATTATATTTTCACATTTGGAGAATGTGATTTTCCTTAATTGCTTTCAGTGGAACTCTTAACATTTCTACTTACATTTTTAGTAAGTTACTTTCTATTGCTTTAATATGACAAATGCAGCTATATATAATCAGACTGGTGCTGTTTATAGAATTAGATTAGAGTGTATTTATCTCCCAGGTTACACAATCTGACATTGTGAGAGTCTACAAGATGCCTCTCACCTTGCTTGAAGTTGTGGAGTAGTCAACAAACTCCACAACATCCAACTCCAGCTCACCGTCCTCACTTTCTCAAGTCCCTCTGTGAGTAAATGCTACAGATGTGGGCCACAGTTTTCAAGCAGATTGCATGGTGACAGTCTTATCCAGTAGTGGCAATTCTGTGTAAATAAAGTATGATAGAAAAGTTGCCCGTATATATCTTCAGGAGAACTATGCTAAATTTAATCTCCTCCCCTACTATTTATGTTCTATTTCTACACCACTGCTTATAAAACAGCAGAGAAAACCATCTAACTATAGCAGCATAATACGTCAGCAACAAGAATTCCTTCCATGAACATGAAACTGTGAAGCTATCTGTACTGTTCATCAATGTACACGGCAGGACCTACCACCTTAGACTTCACATGAGTGAGGAGTTGAACTGTAGTTGAACATGCTGTTTAGTGGGATGTAGACCCCACCTGTGAAGCTGCCTTGGCCACCACTCTCAGCAGTGTGACAACAGGAGCAGAAAAAGTTTGGAAACCTGTGAACTGCTCCTCCGAGACTAAATACACCTTTGTAATAACCCTGTTTTTCTTTCACATCGCCTGCAGCTCAGGCTCAGAGAGGCTGCTCAGACAAATACAAATATTTTTATAGACTGTGAAGCTAGACTTCTTCTTACAAGGAAGCAAAATAGGGAATGTTCAAAAAAACGGGAAGGTTTTGAGTTGTGAAGCTGCAGCTGATTATCCGTTCATTATCACATTTTACAGTGGCTTGTCTCGATAAGTGTGAAAACATCTGAACAATGTTGTGGTTCTTCCAGCTCTTAAGTCACTGAAGCTCATGATACACTGCACAGCAACTCTCTTTCCCAAATATTCTCTATTACACACTTAAACTAGCCAATTTACAATCCATACTTTGTAGCAAAGAGACTACTGCTCCAGGTTATGTTTCCAGAGTGCAACCATGAATACAGAGGAAAGAAAAACAAAATGCATTCTTGGGAGGTTTTAGCACTAGAAGTCTTACACATGCACACAAATGAAAGGACTAATGGGTATTTAACTTTTAAAAAGATGCTGTAAATATATCTGTGGCATTTTAGAAACACAACACAAAAAATATATATTTACAGTGTGATTAAGATGCTGTCAGATGTAAAAAACATAAGAGGTCCCTTTACTATTTGAGCTAATCCCAAAGTAATAACATTTTAAGTTTCCTTATATCAGGACTTACAGTCGATGGAATTCAACAGAGTCAATCACAGCAGTGAAAGTGCTGTGCAGATTCTCTCATACAATTTTAAAACTGATTATTCCCACATAGCTAGGCTTAAAAAGGGCAGAATGTCTGTAGTTGGAGTAGGTAACACAATGAGTACATATAATCTTTGGTTATAGCACTATAGCTTTATGCAGTCTGAGATGACAGAAGCAAAAGACTCTGTAAAGCAATCATTGATGCAAAGTCTACATTACCATTATTTTAAACACACACACAGAAATGTAGTTTTAAAAGCAATATGAGGCACAAGTTAATGCACATTTTCTCCTGAAATACAACTCTGAGAGGAGTCTTTGCAAATCAAAGCTCCTTCTCTCTCTGCTCACCAAATTCCTTTGCTCTAATCCTTCTTTTAGGCTTTTTGCCACAGATTGACATAAGATGAATGCAGAATTATCACTTGAACTTAGAAACTGAGAGACAACAGGATTTGCTGACTGATTATCTCCATGCAGTCAAGGACTTCTGCATGTCAGATACTATTGTAAACTAGAAAATATTTCTCAGGATATCACTTATGCAAGATACAGTACTAAAGGAGCTACAGAATTAACACAATGTGTGTTGGAAAGCAGTACAGTTTGTGTAGTGCACATTCTTCAAACTTCCAGTATTTTTCCATCTAAGCCTCGCACTGCATTACTTACATGCTCCTGCTGGGATAGAGAGGCTATGGGATTTTTTCCTCCTCCACCCCCTACCTGTTAAGATACTCTTTGTTGAGCTTTGTGTCATGTGGCATTAGGCAAGCTTTGTTCTGAGAGTTTAATTCCCTCTTTCCAAGTCTACTGTGGTGCGACATTTACAAACTAATGCACTTGCCCTTTTTGTAGCCCCTAACATAAATCCCATGCCCAATAGGAATCATTTTGCTTTGAGAAGGAGTTTCATCTGTGCTCAAGGAAATTCACAAAAAAAAAACAAGCACCACAAGACTTGGTGTCTTTTTCAACAACAGCTTTCTTCCTGTACACAACTGTTTGCACCTTCTTGTGTGTATTCAGCATCACATTTACAGCTTGAGAAGTAAACGATCTTTCTTTATGCTCCTAAACACAGTTATAATAAAAGATTTTTCTTCCCCCCCCCAATTGATAATATATTTCTGTATATGAAGAACAAAATTAGAGTCACCCAACCATTTATCCCTTTTTTTAAATGGATACTAGTTCATCTAATAACAACTACCCCTATTTCCCCATCTGAGTTCTTGTGTACCTCTCGGAACATGGTTAAAATATGCTACTGCTATTTTCTTTGTAAGAGTATTATTTATTTAACAGGAACCCATAAAGAGCAGTAATTGACTAATAATTTGCTCACACAAACTTTTAATTGGATATTATGGCCATTCTACTTATTTATAAGACATTTATAAATGTCCATTTATGTATGTCCATTCATTTGTGTCACTAGAAATTACTAAATGAAAGGGTGAAGCATGTAAAGTACCATAACTGGAGTTTAATAATACCACTGATTCCCTTCTACATAGTGTCATTATGGGGGGGGCGGTGAAGAGAAAAAAAACCCAAACACTTTTTTTTTTTTTTAATATACAGAAATAGGATAGAAAAGTGAATCATTCTAAAAACAAATGGAAATGCTTCTTGGAAAATTAAAGTCTGGGTGTATTTGGAACCTGTTTGAAAGAAGCAGCAGCCTGTGCTTAACAAATGTTTTTCCACAAAGCCATGGTGAGTCTCCCAGACCATAACACCAAATAGCAGGGCAATTATTAAAGATTGAAAAATTGCTGTACTTTTTTTATTTCTTTTTTATTTTAGTTTAAAAGTTTGGCTTTATTCCTCCTTGTAAACGTCTCCTAGAAAAAATCACTACAGAAAAAACGTAGTTGATACCCGATTCTTACAACATAAAATGCAGAATGAAGACTTTTGGTCCAACTTTTAAGTAGCTTCCATATGGCAAGTTTCCACTTTTTCACTAAAAAATTAAGTGGCCATTTTTTTCTCTTTTTTGCTGCTACAGTAGAAACCTGACAATAAGTAACTATTGAAAAGTTTTTCTTCACTGTAGAAAAAGCTCAGCACCAGAAAAAGAAAAAAACAGAGGTCTTATAAAAATAGGCTGTGCAAAGCGGCTCAAATCACTAGAGCAACCCCCAAAGAATTTCTAGATCATTTGTGAATAGCAATATTAATCAAACGATATTGCAAGTTTTTCATCAAATTAAAGACAGCTTCCCCAAAGCCTGTTGGCAAGGCTTGGGAATTCCATTCAGGATGCTCCCCTGCCACAACTGTACATCCCATGCTGCCAGAAGACAATAGCTGCTACTCCCAGGGCTGTTATGACATGAAAATCCTCTCCTGTGATTTGTTGGTGCCACCTACAAGTAGACAGAACCTTGGGTGACATGGTTTAGTGTGAGGTGTCCCTGCCTATGGCGGGGGGGGGGCGGAACTAGATGATCTTAAGGTCCTTTCCAACCCTAACTATTCTATGATTCTATGAGATAATCTGCTGCAGCACAAAGCTGAGCCCCGTCCTGCCACAGCCCATCTATGAACAGGCTGTCCTGCTGCTGCAGTGATGTACAGCCCATCACACACATCACATCGTCTCTAGTTTTGTGATGGGAAGCCTTCGTGCTGAAAGTTACAGCTCAAGCAGAGGCAGAGCTACCATGGCAGGAGTACAGCATTCAGCCTGAGGAAGGGTTTAGGCAGCTAAGTCAGACGAGCATTTGTTTCAGGTATGGGAGCAGAGGGCAGGCAGCCTGCTGTTGGGTGACCGGCGTCTGCACTCGGTTACTGTAAATCTATGCATCCTTTGGGCAGGATGGTCAAGAGAATAGTGAATGCTCATATTTTCCTATGGATTTATTTTAGAAGTAACAGCTTTTCACACTACCCTGTTTTTGGCAGTGGGATATCCCCAGGCAGAGCACTTGCTTGGCTTCCCCTGTTCCAAGGAGGGCTTCATGAAGCTGATAGGAACAGCACCTGTGGATTTTCTGGATCCACCCTTCAGCCTGAGTCACCTGTATTTCCACGCCATCACATACTGTTTTATGCATGCTTGCTACATTTGTCAATGAAGTTAAGAGCCTTTAATGATGGAGTGAGTATTAAAAATAGCATTTACTGCATTAAATATCTGCGCAGTGTTTACCTCCCAGTTCTGCCATCTTCACTAAACTGATTAATATTTTACTTTACTGCTGTATCCAACCCTTTTTCCACTGAAGTCCTGGTGAATGCAATGGGAATCGAATAGGGACATTAACAGGACACCTTCCCCCTCAAGTCACCCCAATTTATGCTCTATGAAAACGAGTGATGCAACAGCCTCAAAGGATGGTTCACTGTGCTCTTGGTGTGACTCTTGCAGAAAGAGGAGCCATAAGCCACAGTACTGATGGAGGTATCATTTAGAGCAATACTGCAAGTATGATTATGGAAAAAAATAAACTGATCACTGAGTCAGGACCCCAATACCTTCTTACTAATTGTTATTCTCTTATTATTTCCTCCATATAAATAAGTTCTCCTCCAGAAAGTCTCTGCTCTATGCTGAAATCATGCTTCAGGTGCTGGCCATTTTCTGCTCTGCTAACACTGTCTTCATTCTCTCACTCATTCATATGTACATGCCATTTGGTATCAATTTTCTGTTTGATGACACAATAAAAGTCACCTAATTAAATAACAACAACTTTAAGTATTAACTACATCCTTGTAAAACCACAAGAAATTTGTGGGACAGGTTTACTGCTGACATTTTACTACCATTTGCTTTCATTTCCTTCAGTTATATTTTGACCCTTA